AACAGGATCGACGAAGAGAAAAAAAAAAAAAAGAAAAGAAAAGAAAAAAAAAATCATATTCTATTCCCTGCTCGATGGACTCTCATCGATCTCGTCGAAGAAGAAATGACGAGTTTGAAATTGGCGCGATTGGGAACAAAGCGTTAAGAAAACAAAAGTCCCTAGAAATCTACGATAGCGTGTAAGTATACATGTATGTACTCTCGAACTCGCGAATTATTATATCGACCTCCTTGGAGACGGACATTCTTGCTCGTAAATGTTAATACACACTTGAGAATGTAACTTAAAGAATGACGTATTTTCCGCACGAGCGAAAGATAATTCGTTAAAAAAAAAAAAGAAAAATCTGATCAACAAAAGAGACATGAACGATTGGAACATGATCGTTGAAAAGAAAAATCCCTTCTTCTCGTTATAAATCGTTCGAGAGTTTTTCGACGCTTGGGAGGGCGTCGATTCCCTCGTATCATCGATCACAAAAAAATTATTCCATATCTTCCGTGCGACTCGATCTTTCCCGCCAACCGATCCCTTGAATTCGTTAACATAAAAACAATATATATATATATTTATCGATGGATCAGGATAAAAGAAAATAAAAAAATCCTCATAAACCATTGATTATTGAACCGAGCTGTTAATCTATTCGTATACAAGCATCGATTAAGGAGGGTAAAATGTAAGAATTGAAAGGGATAAAAATAATAAGGAAGAAAAAGATAAATGATCGCACGGAAGGAAGAAAAGGATAAATGAGAACTCTCGATTCGAATGGATAGGGAAATGAAATAAAAAATAAACTAACGAGCTGGATGTACTCGATAAAACGTTAAACGAGAAGACGCTATAGTAAGAAAAGATTGAACTACTGAAAGAACATCGACTTGTGTGTACCACTTGTGTGTCGTGTATGTATATACGATCTAATGTCTACCTGCTGTCCGTCCCTGTATGTTCGTGCGCGCGCGTATTACAGTGTGTCAATTTACTTATATGTATGTGTCACAAACGTAAAAAAAAAAAAAAAAGGAAAAAAAAAAAAAAAGATTACACAATGAAAGATCGCGTGGCAATTTCCATCTATCAGACACGCACGATATTCCCTCCGTGAATATATATTTCTCTTCGTAATTTCAATTCAAATATTTTGCTTTTAGAATTTATCTTATTTTTTTTTTTTTTTCTTTTTTCTTTTTTCATCGATCTTTCCTTTCAGCCAAACATCATGGACGATTTTTACCGACGATCCGGGTAAGGTATTCTTATTGTCTCTCGTACTTTGTATATCGTTTTCTGTGCTGTGCCCTCTCGTTCGAAAGTGACACGGAAGAAAAGGGGCGAAAGGATTATCGCGCGTGTCCGACGAATCGCCGCTCGATCGTTCGACTCGTCTCGCCTCTTCTTCCCTATGTAAAAAACTTGTACATGGAAGTTTTAAATCGCTAAATAGATACAAGTTGTTTTATTCCTAAGGTGAGCCGTACGAGGCTCGTATTATCGATCGATACTTCGTACAGCGGTATTTCATTTCTCTATACATTAATATGTGAATTCTGTTAATTTTAATGTCGTTTATATATATATATATATGTGTGTATATATATATGTGTCATCGTATATATACCTATAGTTGTCTAGCACAGCTGTAAAGAGAATCTTACACACTAAGAGACAAAAAAAACCGATTCTTAAACGTAGATTCATATAATATAATATTTTCATATTTATTTTCATATATAATATATTTATATATTTATATACTTCAATCTTCTTATTAGATCATTTTAAACCGCGTTAATGTCCGCGTGAAAAAGAACGCCTCGAAGAACAACCGATATATAAATTGCAGGATAAAATTTTCTTTTTTTCTTCTTCTTCTTTCTTTTCTTTTTCTTTTCCTTCTTCAGATCTCTTTCTCACACCACCTCTTTCTCTCTTCCTCCTCTATTCCTCCTCCTCCGTCGAGCGTTCGCAAGTACGATACGGTAGCCTATCACTAGAACACGATTCTCGACCCTGTTCGACGACCACGTTTTCTTCTTCCCTTTCGTTTCTCCTTTATTTTTCTTCTCCCTTTATTATCCCTTTCCTTCGGTTTTGACAAAAAAAAATCAACAATTTACTGCCGTTCGAAAGAAAGGAAGGAAGGAAGAATCCGCGGCGACGAGCGTCGAGAGATAACCGAGTTAGAGCCAAGTCTCTAAAATATTCAACGAAATTCAAGGATATTCTCTTTGGGCGTCGAGCAAATTGGCCGACGTGAGAAACGAAGGAAAGTTTCCCTTAACTAGAAAATCTGAAAAACCTTTGTTTTCCAATAAAACTTATATATTTATCGATGATTTCAAAACCTCTCACCTTCGTCACTTCACTACCAACCTCCTCCTCCTCCTCCTCCTCCATAATGACTATATTCTAAACTCTATTCATAGTTCAACCACTCATTAACCTCTCTTTCCTCGTTTAATATAGCCATCCTCGAGACCCCCCCACAAGAAAAAATGTCTTCCTTTCGCGCTTATTACGTTTCTAATCTTTTTCTTTCGTTTCTCGTGTACCATCCCCTTATATAACCGCATATACAACCCTTACACCCCATCCCCTCAACGTGCCATATATAGATGCGCTATTCGATTATTAATTATCGTTAGAAGAATCCACGGACACGATTACAATCGATCGACGAGAGTGAATAGTTTTCGAACACGAATCTCGAAATCTCGTTCCCTTTCCTCCTCCCCGGAGGACTCGGGAAACAAAACACCTTCGATCTCGAAAATACGAAACGCGTGTTCACCCTTTCGTCTCCTTATTAAAAAACACCGATCTATAGAAAAATCATCCGCCCCGGATCGACCGCGTTGGCGACGAGAAACGGATCGCGGGGGAGGATTCGAAAAAAGAAAAGAAAAACGATACGCTTCAGAGGCGTATTTTCATCCGTGTCCTCTCCCTCTCGAACAATTATTGCGATGGTCGCGAGAAGGATAAAGTTCTCGTGCCGAAAAAAGAGTAAACGAAAAAACTCCTCTCCTCTCGTGGAGTCGCGTGGATCGAGGTAGATTCATCAACAGAGGGATTAAATTGCAGCTTCGTCGAGGAGAGAGAACACATTTGGGATCGTCTCCTCCCTACCTGAAACCGCCCCCCGTTCCTCGAAAACAAGCGTCACGGAGCGCGGAAAAGGTTTGAAAAATCGTTACAGCGGTTACTTTTTACTTTTACTTTCGGAGAATAAAGAAAAAAGAAAAAAAAAAAAAAAAAAAAAAAAAAAAAAAAAAAAAAAAAAAAAAAAAAAAAAAAAAAAAAAAAAAGAAAGTTTAGCCTTAAAGGTTTATTAATTAGGTTTAGCCTTAAGCAACTACTAAGAGCTAGTGCGCCGTTTATGCGTCGAGACGCACCCACTTTTAGAGAAAAACTAAAAAGCGCTCTCGTACACTACCCTTCCATCGCCCCTCTCTCGGATCCATTGGAGGACGTTTATCTCCTCTGGATATTATACGCTTCTTCGATGCAAATTTCCCTTAAAACGATCCTAGGATTATAGGTACGCCGACGCGTCGACGAAACTGACTAATCGTGTTTTTTTTTTTTTTTTTTTTTTTTTTTTTTTTTTTTTTTTTTTTTTTTTTTTTTTTTCTTTTCTTTTTTTCTCTCTTTACAAATCGAATTTTTCAGGTGCCTCGAAGGTGTCGCGCAGCTCCCCTTTGACGATCGATCGCCGCGTTTTGGGGGTAGTAGTGCACATGAGAGACGCGATCTACACCCGGCTTTTAAGCTGGAATTTTCTAATATTCAAATGTTGCGCAGCTGGTATTATACGCTTCGCGTGTAAGTAATTTCGGATACGCTGTCCAAACTAAGATCGATTTCATCCTATCCCCTTTCATCCTCCTGAATATTATTCGCGCGTCTCTACAAAAATTCCCCTCCCTCTTATTCCAAAAAATTGCAATTTTTTGTTTGCAATCGAAAAACGCATTTCAAATCGGGTAACTATAACTTTTCGAAAAAATCCCGAGGCGACGATCGATCGATAAGGAAAAAAAAGGGGACGCGCGTCGCG